GCTTCGTTGTTCAGGGCACGCTTGCCTAACACTTGCCTTGCTTACAGGTGCTTCTTCATTTGGAAGAACGTCACACTGAAGTCAGCAAACTGCATTGAGTTGTGATATCAGTAAATATACAGAGACATCGGTTAAACCACCCTAGGATCCAAAAGATCAACTTGTTGCTTAGACCAGTCCATGAACCGGCAATAGTTTTCGCTGTCATTCTTTATCAGACCAGTCTGCTTAAAACAGCATATAAAAAGTTCAAGCTATGGTCTCTGTTTATTGATCCATTAGTTCGTTTTCTTTTTTCTTAGCTCAAAAAGCCCACTCCCAGTCCACGGCATTCGTATTTAGTTTGTGCGTCCAATGAGCTTGACAGCGGTCTTCAAAGCTCACATCACTGTACCTAGCCGTTTGTTGATGATGAATCTTCAATGGTTGCTTTTGATCGATAGCGTAAACAGAGGCTAAAGTCGTTTGACGATCCGTTCGCCTAATAAGAAATTAGGGATCGCAATATAGTTATAGATGACGACACGGTAAAAATGAAAAGGTAATGCGATCACAATCAGAAGTGTGCAAATGGTTGTAATCGAACAAGAAGTAGGTCCTCCATGGTCCTATAGTGATAAACAACAGAAAATTTTCATTTGTTATTTTTGTGAAAATGCAGTGGTTTCAAATCCGCTTTTAACTTTTCGAGGACCGGTAACTCACCAGTGAACCGTAGTGACTGGTAACTTGGTAACGTTGAAGTCAGCAGTCACTGCTTGATTTTTTAGGATATTGCTCATCGAGTAAGGCTTGTCACGGACACCATATTTTTTCTCCATTGTTTTTGTGATTACATTTTCCGTATTCGTCACCTTTTTCGAGGAATTCGCGACGGAACCGGAGACGCGGGTGAATCGGTCGGACGTCACACCAGCAATAAGGTTGCCTCCCGCTGCACACCGTTAATTGAAGATCGAGCTCTCCCCAACGCGCAGCGACCATTACCTTCACGTATCCTTCCGAGAGGAATAACTGTTCCACATGGTCTGATGAACGTCCCCATCGGTATGGTTGTTCAGTCGAGCGAAAATTTTCTTGCGCTAGAGCGTGCTGTAACCGATGCTACTGCTCGGCTGAACAAAATTGATTCCGAAGCGGTGGAAGTTAAAAAACAGGTAAGCACTCACTTGTGTATTGCTTGAAATGTTCTCCAGTCTTATATAGGGATTCCAAGTATGCATTGTTCCGTCCAGCTAATATCCATGGTTTTCAGTGGATTTGAAGAATTAATGTTATAAAAATGAAATTAATGACTGTAAGATGAAAGCAAATTATCTACCGGATAATTTCAGTCATCTAACCCGACTACTTTGCCGTTGTCTGTCAGATAATGATCTGAACCGGCAGTACAGAATGTCACCTAACGTCATTACTTACTGAGACCATTTCTTCCTATGGCTATGTAAAATGAAGCAATATCTTCCAATTTGTATCACTCACATGCAGCATATCGTCACAAGAATTTGAAGACTTACTTTCCGTATCTTTAAACTTCATCAGTTTCGTATTTAACTGTCGATTACCTCCGAATTCGGGCACTGTTTAACTNTATCGTTTGCCTGTTGTCTTTTCTAATCTCTGAAAGATCAGGCTGCTTCCATGTGACCTAACCACCATCAACCGTGTCTGTTTCGTCTCGCCGGAAGGATTGATAAATAAGCTGTGCGAAAATCATTTGAATGCATGAGAAAAATTTGCACACAAAATTCCTTAAAATCCTATACATCTCAGTGCGATGGAAATGTTTGTGATAACCGGCAAAGAGCACTGGACCGCTGTTTCTTCCTGTTTTGGGACTCGTCAGCAGTGCGTACTTTTTGTGTCCCTGTCAGGACTCGAACCGCGAACATTCGGGTTGGGACTTCAAACCCTTACGCGCGAGCTGCGCACTGCTGACGAGGCCCAATACAGAACTAAACAAAAGTTCAGTGCTCTTTGTCGATTATCACAAACATTTCCATCGCAATGAAATGCATTTCATTAGATATCCTAACAGTTCCGGGACTTGATTTTTTCCTTTGCCGTATACAGCTGACTGAAATCTAGACTTCACGCCTTCGGAAGTGATAACTACAATTACAATGTTTGTTTTTCTAGCTCTTCGAAGTGGAACAGAAACTCAAGCAAATGACTTCGCGTCTTTCCCACTTGCGTAACGTGAAAGAAGTTGCGGACCGAGCACCTTCTGCTCCGTACTCCCTTCTTCGTAAACGCAAAGAACTAATTCAGCAGGATTCGATAGCCAGTGGAAAAGTCGGTGGTCTGGGGGACGATCAGTCTAATCTAGAGCGTCCCACGGATGAAGATCACGTTTTGCTGCCCGCTGAACTTCCTCCGGTGAATACTTACCTTTGGCCTCCACTCGACTGGCCCGAAGACAAAAAGCGGGTAAGTGCTTGCGGTTTCCATTACTGTTCTGTTTTTATGATCCCTGATGTTGGTTGATTGTTGTCTTTTTTATTCTAGCACTGTAAAAAGTCACTTTGGTATCATGAATGCAACAACGCGACCAATGCAACTGAAGCATATTGTATGTTTTCACAAATTTACCATAATAAATGTGCTATATGGTTTTCGTTTTAATGTGTCTCAACGAAATCGCGTAGAATACTCAGCATTGTATGTCCATGGTAATGCTTGTTCGTTTGTTTTTCACCAGGGTTTCCCGAGTGTTTCGAGCTTGTTCCGATGGCATCCGAAAAATTTACGCAGTCTAATCTTAGCCGCGGGGCGTCGAGAACTTCCCGGGTTCGATGCGGAGAAGAAACGACTGGTGCAGGTGAGTGAAAACTACACATTCTTTTTGCTTTTCGCGGTTTACTCTTTGTTGACATGAACTTGTGTGTGAAATTCACCTCAGTTAATTCTGGCCTTCGCTTTGAACCCCATATGGACAATGGATGACCTTGATACTATGACTAGTTTGAAGTTCTCCTGGGTGAACAATAACAATCGGTTGCATTCATTTTACTATAAAAGAGAAAATCTCTTTGGTTGTTTAACAACATAATTCGTTCTAGTATTTCCCGGAAGATGATTATTCTTACATGTTCAGTTACAAAAGCTGAGTTGTTTACGGTTCTTTCAAGAGGAGGAGGTTCAACTTTTGAGGAATTACTGGATAAAATTTCATCGGAAGCATGCGACCGATTTCGCGGTTATAACCTGTTCTTTCAGAGCATTCATATAGTGTGTATTTTCTTCATGTATATCTAATTGGCAAATTTGGGTTTACTACTTAAGACGCGCGTTTCCTAGTCCATCCGTAATGTCGAATCATAGTAATGATCCAGAAATGAACTGGCGTCGCTAAGGTATGTATGGTGTCTGAAGCGATGAGATCAGATAGCATTCGGTAGGCATCCATTAAAGAAAACCTTTTCTTCACTCTGAGATGACTAGAGCAAGTCGGATGAATGCTGAAAAATGTCTACTCTACAGGGTCTTTTTGCAGACGTTAGACCACATTCCATTAGGTAGATGGATAGCTGAACGGATTTATTCACATGGAATGCTCGAAGAACGCCACTAAAAATAACTTATCTTGAAATTGAGGTCAAAAGGCAGCACATATACTACTGACAAGTCCCAAATAGGACAAAACAACTGTCCAGTGCTGTTTGTCCCCTATGACACACAGTTCCATCACATGTAATTATTCAATTTTAATCATTTCTTTCAGCCCCTACGGAGTACAAA